CACAGCATGTGGAATCTTCCTCGACCAGGGATCGAACCCATGTCCCTTGAATTAGCAGATGGATTCTTAACAACTGGACTACCAGGAAAGTCCTCTTTCATTCTTAAGATGGCCCCTTCATGCAGGTAAATTTAGAGCTGTGCCCCATCTCCCTTCCCCTCTCTATTTTATCTCTCTAGTCATCCTAGAGTATCAGAGAGGTTTACCCTTCCTATTCAAGGAAACAAAGTGAAATTAGAGTTTAAGAAACTCATCCAAAATAACATCATAAAGGTGCGGCAGGACCAGGGTTCAAACCTGTCTGTATGCATCTGTTAGACTAGTAGCCACATAAAGAAGTTCAAACAGTTTGTATTTTTTTAAAACCTGCCCCCCCCATATTTAGCAATAATGGTTAGCATATTCCCTTGGAAGAAAATTAAACCAAATTTTGTGGCCACTCATGATTTTCATGGCATCTATATTCTTCATTTAGCAAAATAGATTATTGACATACTAGTTACTAGGCTGAAATTTCTAAGTCCAAATGATCAGTTATTTGGGCCTCTCATTAAACAACCTAAAAGAAGTGAGACTCATGGTACCAGTGGGAAAATTAGTCCAAGGGGCATGCTCTGTTGCTCCTCCTCCTCCTGACAGTCCAGCTGATATCCTGTGCTAGGGTGCATTGCTAAAGTTGATGTACTCAGACTATACCAGCTCAATCTCCTTATTGCATTGATTTCCAGTGACACATCCCTGCCATTTAATGATGGGACAGAAGGGAATAGCCTTATTTGAAACCTTGTGGCAGAGAGGCTCTCTGAATACAGGTTGGTGGGGAAGTGCTATAAATACAGAAGCAGTTGAACCTTTCTGGAAGGCCATTTGAACAGACCTATTTACATAAAAGTTCTGGGAGCCTCATGGAGAAGAATTCATTCCATCAGGAAAGATAGCCAAAGCGGGAAAGGCTTCGTCCATCACGGTTGGAGGAAGTGGTTAATTTCAAGTACTGCCTCACATCTCCCACAGCTCATTTTTCAGCCCGCCGCACACCCTTTGGTTTAACCATCATATCTGGATTCTGGTGTTGAGCCCTGGCCAACCAGTGGAACCGCAGGTGAGCTAATTCTAATGAGGGAGTTTCTTTCTTACTTGGTCTCCATCTGTGGGATCGTCAGAACCCAAGCCTCCTTCTGGAGTCTGTTACTTTCTCGGAAATCACCAGCAGGTTCCTGGAAGGTCCCATCTGAACACAGAGGTGCCCTAAGAATAGACTGGGAGGTCTGTTATGTTTAAATCCAAGCTCTGCCATTTTCTACCTGTGGAACTTGAGTTAGTTACAGAGCCTTCATCTCCTAATGGGTAACAATGCTGATATTATTAGTGCCCATCTAATAGACACAGTAGGGACAGACATAGTAAGACCTAAAATTTGATGTCATAGATAAAACAATAGAATAGGGCTTAAAAATAGCCACAAAGAATAATTATTATTACGGAAGTTCTCTACTGCCCTTCTGCAAAGTCTTTTGGAATATTTGGAGTTAAGGAGCCAAGTGGAGGAGGTGATTGAGAATATCCGTGCAGGGGAGGGAGTGGAATTCTGGAGCCCCAGAGACTGCATGGGCTACAGAGAACTGTGTTCTGAGACCTGGCAGCCTCGACTGGGAAGAACAGAGGCCATCATCTGCTGCAGAGATGATCCTTTGCTCATTCATCAGTTCTTCAAGTAAGAAGGTGTAGTGTGTCTGTTTTGTGAGTGCCATTGAGCTCCGGGCTAGCTAGGGAAGCAAAAGATAAGAGATATGCTCTTTATCCCAGTCATTCTTGCAAGGGCTCCTTTGAGTTCCTGGAAGACTTCCCCCAACCACCACCACCCCAGAGCCTGCTGGTGATATTCTAGAGAGAGGATACAGTCCAGAAGGAAGCTGGGGTTCTGAGAACCCTGTGGATGGAGGCTGAGAAAGAAGAAAGCTGCCTAATTACACTTCCAGTCCTCCTGTGATCCCACAGGTTGGAAAAACAGCAGTCGGTAAGATGATATAACTGAGAAGACCACTCAGCGTTTCTCCCTGTGGCAGCTCATCAAGTCCCAGACGACTGCTCTTATGTAATTGCTAAGCCATGCCTGACTCTGGAGACCAACAAGCTCCTCTGTCCGTGGGGTTCTCCAGGCAAGAATACTGGAGTGGGTTGCCGTGACCTTCTGCAGGGGATCTTCCTGACCCAGAGATTAAGCTCACGTCCCCTGCATTGTCGGGCAGTTTCTTTACCACCGAGCCGCCTGAGAAGCCCCCTGGAGGGTCACACCCCTAGGAAGTGCTCTTTGTATTGAACTTGTACTATTTTTAATATAAGATTTTACAAGGTAATAATCTACCCTCTTTTTATATTTGAATTAACTAGACTCTTAGGGAAGGAAATCTAAGGTCCAGAAGGTGAGTGGTGACTGTGAGTTTTGGCTTTCTCCGCAGCTACGCTATCCAAAACAACAGAGGCAGTCTCTTTGGAGTCAAGGCAGGAAACCACCGTGCTGACGTTTACTCTAAGTGTCTTTTTTTCCTCTTTTGTTCTTCAAGATTTTCTAGTTCAAACTAACTACACTTGTCCACGCTTAGTTTTTTTTTATTTTTTTAATCTCCCTCATGCCCTTTATGGAAAGAAAGGTGTTATAAATAAATCACTCAGTATATATATATAATGTATGTATGCATATGTATTTACCTAATGATTCATGGTTTCAGTGAAAAACCCTTGACTACTGTCAACCACAAAGAGAAGTTCAGGAGTTTCACTTCCTGTTTTGTGAGCTTAAAACATGAAGCAGTGGAAAGTAAGCTGCCCAGTGCTGGCTGAAAGCCCAGTTCAGGCCCTGCCACTTTACTCTGTGGCCTAATAAATTTACTTCCTTGAACTTCTGGTTTTTCACCAGTAAAATGGTGAAACTACTTCTTTACCTGCTACCCCACTTGCATCATAAGAAATTCAAATGTGGTTATAATTGTGTAAAGATATTCTAAGATATAGGATATTATACAAATTTGAAACATTAGTATTACTGCTGTTTTTCTTTTCTTTCTTTCTATTCCACCCTTCATCTCTCTTTAATCCAGAGAATTTAAATGGCTTCAAAGAACCTGTCCTAAGCCTAAATTTCCTCTTTCTTTACCTTATGTTTCTGTCATATCATTTCTTTCCTTTCTTGCCTACCTCACCTGCAATTTTCACAGTCCAAAGTAGGGAGAAGGGAATAGTGGGAATAAGGCCAGTGACAGCCTTGTATGCAGGAAATATTCCAATTGGGTTTTGATTTTCCTCCTTGGAGTCATATATGTGCTTGAACTAACACACAGATACAAAATGCAGACTTAAATATGGACATAACACACTTACATATGGCCTACACACACATAAAAACCCATGCCTTCAAGCATACTGAGAATCTAACACAGACATTTGTGTATAAGAAATCATATGCCAACACTAGAAGGAGGACCTCAGTTAAACAGCTGAGACATCTACATCAATACAAACACACCCCTTGCAGTGTAATCACACTTTCTTCCAGGCAGGTATGATCACACAAACGTGAACCGCAACACGTAGAGGCATGTGGTCAAACACATATGCCCACTTTCACTGGCACATGAGACCTATAAACACACTCAGGCATGCTCAGCAACTTCAACCATGCTCCAACCAAAATACACTCTGGAACACTCAGTCACAAACACATTCCTAAATGTGGCCATATATTTCAGTTTTGACAACTGTATTTTCCAAACATCTCTTTGCCCTTTCTCTGTGCCATTCTGACGAAGCTGGATGAGTGTGCTTTTCTAAGAATTCACTTTAACATGACCCACAGTAACCTCAGGGACATTGTTTTTTCAAAAATGACATCTGCTTTTTCCTAAATGTGGTCATGGAGTGACACCCAACAGGAAAGAGCAAGACAGGCTCCCCACCTCAAACCATTTCAAAATACCTTGAAAAATGCAATGGTCTATCAAATAAAACTCACTTGCTACATAAGAAACATTTTGCTGCAATTCTCATTATGTGGTCACCCCAGCTCTACCAGCCCACGTGTTTCTGGGGCCATTGAGAAAAACTGACCTCCTAAGGTCATCCCACCTCTTACCCTGCCTCTAACCTGAATTTCTCATTATGAGGCCAGGAAGTTGGACCTATTTCCCTCTATTACAATAAGTGCCACTTTCAACCGAATTATTTTGATACTACCTTCAGGACAGTCATAACTTACTAGGTAATAACTTCAGAATGACATCAAGAGACAAAATGATAGACTGTGTTTTATATATTTTCTCAAAAGATAGTAGTTAAATATGGATATGTCCAGCGTGTCTCTAACAGTTTTATTTATGGTATGGGTTGATAGATAAGACGTGGAAAATGAGAACTGGATTTATAAAGACAAAAATATATCAGGAACTAATAGTTAATAAATAGAACATGCTTAGGGATAACCAGGATGTTTGTGAATTGACGTAAAGTGGAGGGGAATCTGAATCAGGAGACTTCTGGGTCAAAAAGTAGAATTTAAACTGTATCCAATAGGAAAAGGAAAAGTAAGTCAAGACCTAGATCAATCAAAACGACCAAAACCACCTTGTTTTAATATAGCTAAAACATGTAACCTGACACGATTTCCACTCGAAATACTCAGGAGAAGTCTGTCCTTTCTTATTCTCATGGAGGCCCAGTCTCTTAGTTCTAATTCAATTTGATGGGTAAGAATTGAGTTGACTTTCCCTGCCCTGGACTCCTTAGCTGAGTTGGTTGAAACATCCCCCGGGAAGTTCTGTATTTTAGCACAGTATTTATTCCCTCTACACTGTAAGCTCCGTGAGGTGGGCAGTCCTATAGGTCCCGTGTACCACTGAATCACCAGCCTTTAGCACAATGCTTGGTACATGGTGGCGTTTAGTACTTGTTAACTGAACACGCCCTGCCTCCAGCTGGGCAAGGAGCACATCAGGGGAGCCTCCCCCTCAGGTGGAGGTTGTCGCTTCCTGTGGGTCGGTTTCTGCATCTGCTGTTCCTTCTGGACTCCGGGGTTTACCAGCCAGCAAGGCCTTTCTGAGTCTTCTCCAGAAGACATGCCGCCCCAGGACACTGTCCTCCCACTCCAGGTAGGTGTTCCTGCTCAGAAGGCGATAGAGCTCCACCTGCTGCCGCAGCAGAGACTTCTCCAGCTTCTGCAGGACGACGAAGATGATGCCGGCACGGCTGCTCAGAAACTGCCAGGTCTGGGCAATCTCATACTCGAAGATACACCATCGGCTCTGGATGAAGTGCTGGGACACCACGACAATGACCTTGCGGCTTTTGTGGAAACCTTCCTGGATGATGTTGGCAGCGATGGCCACCCCAGGAATAAAGTCCCTGTAGTGAAGGCAGAGCTGAAAGGGGGGCACGCCCTCCTCCAAGTTCTTCACCAGCTCATTCCGCACCCAGTCTTCATCCTGGCTCGAGTAGATTACAAAGGCATCATAGGTGCTTTCACCTCTGCCATACTTTTTGCAGCCAGCAAGAAGCATCAGGTGGAAATAGAACTTATAGACCAGGACTCCCACCACAGTTACCAGGAGTACAGTGACAACCGACACGCTAATGATCGTCTTGCTCATCTGACAAGTGGCATTCCTGAAACTAAGCACCGGCATGTCCTTCATATCTGGAGGCTCTGCACACATCATTTGCTCAGCTCCCACCAAGAGCTGCCTCTGGTCTTTGACCCACTGCAGGAAACTCTGGTGTTCACAAACACAAGCAAATTCATTCTTAGTAAGATTTAGCCAAGTGAGGCTCCTTGGCAAATTCTGTAGTTCTTGCTCCTTAGAAGCCATGATACGGTTGAAACTGCAGTCTAGGATCTGGAGCGAATGGAGCGGTTCATAAAGATGTGTATCCAATGACAAGAGTTTGTTGTGACTCATATTCAGCACCTGAAGGCTAGAGAGGAAGTGAAATGCTGTCTGGGATACCTGTTCCAGTTGACACTTAGAGAGGTCCAAGATGGTTAAGTTAGTCAGCTCTGTGAAGATATCAGGGAGCAAGTTGTTCTGAAAAGAGTTGCCTGCCATTTTCAAGGTTTGGAGACTGACTAAGCCAGTAAAGATGCCGTGGAAGACAATCCGGGTGTGGGTATAAGAAATATCAAGGTAACGGAGGTTTCTGAGTGATAGGAATGTTGAAAAAGCATTGATCTGTTTCAGAGTGGAATGCTGAAAATCCAGATGTTCTAGTTGCTCTAAGCCCATGAAGTTTGAACTTAAGGTAATGACATCGTTGAAGCTCAGATCTAAATGCTTCAGTTTGGTTGTCCCAAAATCAGTGTGAGAACAGCAACCCTTGAAACTCAAGTGATTTCTTTTGAGATCTAGATACTGAAGGCTTGGTAGCTGAAACTCATTAAAACTGCTTATACCTTTGTTGTCTATGAAAACAAACTTTTTGAGAGAACCGAGCTTCAGTGCAGGGAACTGTTCAAAATCACAGTTAATCATTTCTAAGCGTTGCCATCTAAAATCTCTAAGAAGGGCTTGTAGACTTCCTAAAGATATACTCAACAGAGAAATCCCAGAAACATTTGCCAAACAATTAAATAATTCTGTATCATCCCCCGAGAATTCGCCCAAGTATGCTATCCGGAATTGTTCAATGGTCAGGTTGCAGAGTCCCATCAGGAAAGATCTGTCAAATCTTTTCAACTTCCTTTCATTTTTAAATTCTCCCAAAACCAGCCGGTTGATTTTTAAACCAGCCAGACCTTGAATACAAGTTTTCATGACATCTGAACTGTTAAAATTACTTCGCAGAGTCAATCCATTGAGCTTAATTTCTTTAAAGGTACCTGGTTCAATAAAGTCTAAAGGGTTCAGGGACAAATCTAAAGAGAGGTTGAGTAGGGGCATTTGATGTAGAACTTTCACATCTTCATAATAAATATTTTGGATTTTGTTGTTAGAAAGATCCAAGTGCTCCAGGTTGGGCAGGTTAGAAAAATATTCAGGTAACTTGAAGGAATGGATAAAATTGTGAGCCACGTTAAGCTCTTTCAAGGTTTTGAGATGTCCAATGGGGAAGTCATCTAGAGATACTAGGTTTGTCTCCACGGCCACCAGCTTCTGTAGACTTGATAGCCCAGAAAAGGCTCCCCAGGCTAAACTCTGGATAGGGTTTCCCGTCAGTATCAAGGTGGAGAGGTGGTTTAGGCCCTGAAATGTGTCGTCTTCAATAATCTTAATTTCACATCTACAAGAAAAAGAGATACAGATTATGTAATATTTCTGCTGAATAAAAAAAACAAAATGAAATATCACCCCAGTCATCTCGGTCTCCACACAGATATAACAATGCTATATAATGGTACATGTCCAGCAAGGCAGATGAAAAAAGGAGCCCCACAGATTTGGTACTATAAGGCTAGCCCCCATGACAATCTTTTTTATCATACTAAACACACATGCTAAGCAGAGGCAGTCCATCCACAAGAGGAAAATCAGTTAAAGACGAATGATTGGGGCGCCTGAAGACTGAACCTCAGATCTACTTTAGCCATTTCCTGAAACACATAATTGTGATTATGTATCCAACTGGTAAGATGAGATAGGTAGCTGTTAATTGTTAGGCATGATAAGTGACCACTGAATGCCAATTTCAAAGATATAGAAATTATACCTAAATGTCACAGATATCCTTACTATTCAAGAAAAATTCCCCATATTATAAGGGGGCTCAGAGGTAAAGAATACGCCTGCCATTGCAGGAGACCTGGTTTGGATCCCTGGGTCGGAAAGAGCCCCTGGAGAAGGAAATAGCAAACCACTCAAGTATTCTTGCCTGGGAAATCCCATGGACGGAGGAGCCTGGCAGTCCATGGAGTTGTAAAAACTTGCACATGACTTAGTGACTAAACAACAAAAACATCACTTCAGAGAAGCTGAGGATGAAGGTGAAGAGAAAATACAAGTTGGAAGCAGGAGATGTGAATATGACTTTCTGGCCTGCTGTCAACAAGCCATGTGAATGTATACTTAAACTCTCCAAGCCTCTCTTTTCTCATCTACAAAAAGAAAAAAAAAAGTATCAATAGATTTCCATAGGGACAAAAGGCTGGCTGGTCTAGCATGAAAGCATCCATTGAAGATAAATACAGTTATTGACTGTGCAGGAAGACACTGTGAAACGAGGAGAAAAGGCAGAGCGTCTATTGCTCGTAATCTGTCCTTATCCTAATCTAGCATCTCCTCCCAACTAACCAAGAGAGGGAACTAGCCTCTCTCTCGGAACATATTTAAAGCTTCTGAGGGCAGTTCCTTGGGTACATGGTGGGTCGAAGATCAATTTCAAGGGACGCTGGTGAGAAACCATTTTTCTTTAAAATTAAAGAAGAATATTGATCTGGCTACCTTGATTTGGTACAGTTCTTAACAAAATTCTTACTCAGAAAACTGAAATTTAGAAACTAATGGAATGCTCTAATAGTATTTTATATTAAAGTCTACTTTGCAAGGTCTTTAATATATATAACATGTTACTCTCAGTATCACAGTTAATCCTGTGGTTTAAGGTTCATCCCTTATGCTTCACAGATATGAAACTGAGACTCAGGTCAGATGTAGGGACAAGCCTCCGGCCGCGTGGCAGTGAATGTTGGAGAAGGACTCAGCTCAAGTATTCTGCCCTCCATAGGGCTCCATGTCACTGCCTTCAAAAGGCTTGATTCTCAACTTTGTTGTAGTCTATCAATATCCCAGTTAGAGCATAAAACATCAGATGATCACTCTTCTACAGGAATATCTACCATCCTCGTACCCTTTATTAAGAGCTTCCATAATAAAATGTCATATAGGTTTCTTCACTTTTCACAAACTCTTACAGAGGTTATAGTCCATTATGCATTACTTTTCTAAATAAAGTCCCTAATGATGAAAATATTTTAGGAATAGGATTCAGTTCTCCCCAAAATGATGATAATAACTTTACCTGTTCTAATGAACAATACACTTTGTTTTATCAGAAAAGCAAATACAGCAGATGTTTTCCTTTGATCATGCATCTTTCTCTCTGGCTTACTTGCATCTTCCTAATTCCCTACCCTGTACCTCACTTTCAATATTCTAGACATTATCTGAATCCAACTCCATTCAAGAACTCTGTCTTAATTACTCACTGCATGTATGTGTTAGTCACTCAGTCGTGTCCAGCTCTTTGCAACCCCATGGATTATGGCCCACCAGGCTCCTCTGTCCATGAGGATTCTCCAGGCAAGAATACTGGAGTGGGTTGCCATGCCCCAACCCCCCTCCCTCCCCACCCTGGAGGACATTCCCAGCCAAGGGATTGAACCCAGGTTTCCTGCATTGCAAGTGGATTCTTTACCCACTGAGCCACCAGGGAAATCCGGTGGCTTTCTGCATAGAAGGCCCCTTTCCTCTACAGCACAATGTATTGCCTCTAGTTTTCAAATAGCTTATCACCTACTCTTATATATTACTATCTTTATCTCAGGTTCAAAATCCAAAATCAGAATCAAGTAACATGTATTAAATGCCTACTATGTGCCCAGCACCGTGCTCAGGTTTTAAACATATTAATTTTTTTAAGTGGATATGCCCTCCTTAATAGCTAGGGTTTTGTGTTATATGTCAACATATTCTTATTTCCTAGCAGAGTGAACAACAAGCATATAGCAGCCACAAGAATATAGCAGCAAATAGTCAATAAATATTTGCTGATGAAAGAGTTCAAGTCAATTTACTCCCCTGACTTAAGAGAAAATCAGAGACAGAACTTTCCTCAGAAACTGTCTCACCCAACTGCTTTCACAAATAAAAAAGCTGAGACCTGGAGAAGGGAGATAACTTGCCCAAAGTTATATAACAAGTAAGATGTCTGTTGAGTGGATAATTAAGTGAATGAAATGAAACCTCATGAATCAGGCTTTCTGACTTGAGAATGAAACGACAATACCATGAACATTTCTCCTTGTATAGTGGTAGAACTCATGCATTACCTGGATAAATCCAGCACTTGCAGCTCTGGGAAGCTGGAGAAGTTATGGCTGCCTAAATGTCTCAGGTAGTTAAAGCTCAGGTCCAGCATCTTGGTTGTTATGGGGATGTTGTCAGGGATTTTGTAGAGATTCAGCTCCATGCATTGGTAACTAATGTTAGGAACCACCTGAAATGATTAGATATTAGATTCAATGTCTTCCTGCATGCACCTTAGCAGACTTCCCAGCAACTCTCCTCTCCTAGACTAAAGCCTTGGAGGCTACTGGGACAAGCAAAGAGACCAGTCAACCTTATTTCAACCATCCATCCATCCAGTCATCCATCACCTGATCATCCGTCCATTCATCCACTCATCCCTTCATTTATACACTCTCTTCATTCTTAAAAAGGCCTTACTCTAGATTAGGAAGGAAAAAGCACCGACCCGATGATTAACCTTTACTCTCTCAATGGCAGATTTCAGCGAGAAGCAATGGAATCTCATGGTGAAGATCTGAAGCACTGGAGTCCAAAAGCTCTAAATGCCACCCTAGCTCTTCCCTACAATTTGCAGGAAGGCATTGTGTTGTTGCTATTGTTTTTCTAAATATACCTCTCATTGTTTACAAGCTTAAAGAGACTTCCAGTCAAGTCTTCAGCCCTTCCTTGATCATAGCCCAGTTTTTGCCAGTTTTATTCTTTCCTTTGGATCACTCATAGCTCAGTTGGTAAAGAATCAGCCTGCAATGCAGTAGACTCCAGTTCAATTCCTGGGTCAGGAAGGTCTGCTGGAGAAGGGCTGGGCTACCCACTCCAGTATTCTTGGGCTTCCCTTGTGGCTCAGCTGGTAAAGAATCTGCCTGCAATGTGGGAGACCTGGGTTCAATCCCTGGGTTTGGAAGATCCCCTGGAGAAGGGAAAGGCTACCAACTCCAGTATTCTGGCCTGGAGAATTCTGGGTCACAAAAAGTCAGACACAACTGAACAAATTTCACTTTCACTTGGATCACTGACCGTGCGAGAACCTAACACTTGATACTGCCTTGGTTCCTAAGCTGATATCTATCACATTTTCCCAAATTCTTTGTAAGCCTTGTTCTCCAACTTCCCATTTAGTTTCCTTATTCTCTGATTCTTCAACAAAATTCTTTGCTTAAGCTAGCTAATTTTGGTTTTCAGTTTAAAACCCATAGAATCTGTTAACAGGATTAATGAGATAAGGTTTTTAAAGAGATTATCTCAAAGCCTATTACAGTGTAAATGATCAATACATTGTTAACATGTATTATTATTGGCTATTACTAATTCTCCACTATATGAGGCTTATGTCTTATATGTTACATATTTGAATTTAATCTTCAAATAAACCTTTTAAAGAATAAGAATTCAGCAAGATGAAGTAATATGTGTAAAGCCTCACAGGCCACAGTGCAGCCCTTTTACTTTATTCACTCGATCCTGAAATGTTATTCCTCATAGCATCCTCACTGTCCATACTGTCTAATAGAGAATGGGGCCAAGGTCATCCCTTACCCTCCTTTATTCTCCTTCATGGGAGACATCACTATCTAACCTGATGCCTTCTGCGTGGTTGTCGCATATGTACTGTTTGTTTCCCTTTCTAGATTGTAAACTTTGAGAATCTAGCTGTCTGTTATGCCCCCAGCACTCAGAATGATGCCCAGAAAATGGTTAATGCTCAATAAATATTTGTTGAAACAAATGAATGGATAACTGATTCCATGGAAGTTTATTCAAATCCCTACTGCAGGCATTTGCTATTAAGTGTTGTGGCTTTACCACAAAGACCAGTGTGATATGGCTCCAGACTTCCATTAGCTCCCCATCTAGAGTAAGGGTTATGGTAGGAGCACAACTCCTTCCTGAAAAGGGTCTTAAACCAGACTTGGAAAATGTTCCCTTTGGTTCAGAAAAGGTAGGTATCAATCCTGGATTCCGAGACTACAGATTGTATAGAAGGCTTCCAAGAAAGAGAAAATTTCAAGGCAAATCTGGAAGGATAAGTGAGATTTGGATATGTGGAAAGAGGAAGGAGGAGGGAAGAGAGTGAGTACAGAGGGGCGGAAAACGAGCCCCGCGTAGACGAGTGTGGCGGGGATGTGAAACCTAAACCAGACGGGAAGCCGGAGCCAGGTCCAGGGGGCCCGATACTCTGTCCTGTGCCAGCACTTTTAAGTCGTTTGACATGTTCACACTGAGCAACCACATGCGCTAGGCACTGGGACATAGTGGTAAGTAAAACCAGCAATGATCTTGCCCTTTTACAAATACAATTTCAACATAAAGACAAATAATGAACATAAATGCATGTATTCACACACCGTGTGTGTTTTATATATGCATATGTGTGGGCATCCCTGCTGGCTCAGTTGGTAAAGAAACAGCCTGTGCTGCAGGAGATCCAGGGTCTAGCTCTGGATGGGAGAGATCCTCTGGAGAAGGAAGTGGCAAGCCCCTCCAATATTCTTGCCTGGAAAATCCCGTAGACAGAGACGGGTGGACTGCGGTCTATGGGGTTGCAAAGAGTTGGACACACCTGAGCGCACACACATGCACACACACTCACACACTCACACACACATACACATGTGTATATATACACACACAATGGCATGCTATTAAAAACAGAAAGTAAAGCAGTAGGACTTCCCTGGTGGGCCAGTGGCTGGACTTCGTGTTCCCAATGCAAGGGGCCTGGATCCAACCCCTGGTCAGAGAACTAGATCCCAGGTACTGCAACGAAGAGTTTGCAAGCCACAACTAAAAAAATTCTGAATGCCGCAACAAAGACCCAGTGCAGCCAAATAAGCAAATAAATATTTTTTAAACTAATAAAAATAAAGTAGATAGGACATTAAAGGCAAATACAGGGAGTGAGGAGCTTTATATGAGGGAATCAAGGAAGGCTTTCCAGAGGAGGTAACATTTAAGCAGAAATTTGAATAAAGTGAGGGATTAAACTATGAACATATCTAGGGCTGTATTGTCCAATTTGGTAACCACAAGCCACACACAGCTATTAAGTATGAGAAATGTGGATAGTTTAATATAATAAATGCAAAAGAAATGCTATGACATATGCTAAACTCAAGGACTTAGTACCAAAGAAAAACATAAAATATCTTGTTAATAGTCTAGTATATATTACAGTTTGAAATAGTATTTTTAATAAACAAAGTTAAATAAAAATAGTACTAAAATTAAATTAATCTACTTTTAATTTTTTTAATATGGCTACTAGAACATAGTTTAAAGCATCGTTTTAAATTTAGTTAGTTAAAATTACGTTAATGTGGTTAAATAAAATTTCAGTTGAATTTAGTTAAATGTATTATTTAAATTTAAATAACTCCATGTGACCCATTGAACAGCACTGATCTAGGGGGAAAAGCGTTCTAGCTAGGGGAAATCGTGAGTGCAAAGAATCCCATGGTAGGAAAAGGTCCCTGACAGTGATGGAGAATTATTAAAAGCTTTTAAGGACAGTAATATCTTAGAGTTGAACCTCAAAAAACAACAACAACAAATAAACAGCAGATGAATACGAGCAGGTTAAAGGAAGCAGGCCGTGGGGTCAGGAGACGGGTCACTGCCCAAGTGTCAAGGCCAGGGGAACTGGCGATCTGCCCTAGGGTGGCAGTGAGGTGGTGGACAGAGGGGACAAGTTTCGGAAAATGAGAGCATCTGGGGCAAGGGAAGGAGAGGAGCCAGGAGAAGCTGTGTGGTTTCATCCTGGGGTGACCGGAACTGGAGGCTCTATACCCAGTGACTGAACAGCAGGAGAGACAGGAGGACAGTGAGCCGGGCATGGGCAGGGAGTGGCGGGGACAGAGGACTTGGGAAGACAGGTTTGTCTCTGTTACACAGTAAAGTACACGATCTCCCCCATGTCCTCAATGTCAGGACTCTGACTGGTTATGCTTTTCTTGAGTTTCTGCCACACCCTAAATCCCAGGACATTTCTGTGGCTGTTTGCTGCTGCCGCGGGCTTCCAAAGCAATAGTAAGGTCCATGCAGGGGAACAAAACAGGAGACCCTTTCTGAATGAGGTTACAGACCGGCTGGCTGGTGTTTCACAAAGAAAGCATTGCATTAGCTGATATTGCATCTTTCCCTGTCTCTTATTCTTCTCTTTTACTCTGTCTCTGTCTTTATCTCTCTGTCTCTCTTTTTCTTTTCATTTTTTGGACAGAACTAGACTAGATTTAGAAATCTGAAATCTACATAGAAACTTCTTTCTATTAAGAGACAAAAAAAACACAAAAAACTTATCTTCCTGATAGTGAAAGGGGCAAAGCAACAGCCCCAAACTATGTACAAACCACCGGCGGAAAGGAATGACAGGAAGCAGGCTTCTTACAACTTTCTATTAAAGTCTACGGCTCTTTTATTAATGTAAAAACTTGTCTCAGAGAGGTTTAATGACTTCTTCAAAGTAAAAAGCCCAGATGTGGAACAATAGTGATTCTAAGCAGGTCTGTCTGGACTAAAGTTCCTATGTAATTCCTAAGTGGGCACAATGCCCCAGGCTGCCTGTTAATGCCCTGTAACCATGAATCATTTGATTCCTGTGGTTTCTTACTTTAAAGTAATTTGACATCTGTTTGCAAATGAACCTAACCGGGGCCCAGCACAGGGAAAGCGAGCAGAGAGCAGTTTTTCAGAAGCAAGGCCAAGCTCAGGGAAGCCGAGCTGACTCCAACTACGTACCTGTATACAAGGGTCCCAGCTCTCGGATCTCAGGCAGGAGAGGATGGCCATGGCTGGGATCAGAGCCGCAGCCAGGCGGGCACGAGCCATCATCCTGGCATTTTCTGTGACCAGAAGTGGCTCTGTGAACGCATGACCCTCTGTCTGTGCCGGCCAGGGCAGCCTCCGAGGCACCGCACTGCCTTCTCTGCTCTGTGCCCCAGGGCACTGCCGCTATTCAAAGCAGTGCTGGGTTGGGAGGAGAGGAAGTGAGAGTGGCAGCCTTCGCGTTCAGGACTTTTGTTTCTCTAATATTTATCTCCTCTGCCACCGGAGGGGAAGTTAGAAGAAGAAGAAGAAGAAAACGTCTGCAGGCCAGGGGCTGAAGTAACAACAAGAGGAAGCTGGCTTTTATCCCAGGAAGTCATCTGACCCCAGGGTTAGTGAATTTAGGAAAGTAATCAGAGGGGTCAAACAGCCTGTGTGACTGACTACCTAGGACTGTGGCTTTCTGCTTTCCTTTTGTAGTGGAAACTTACTCTTAAATGCTCATTTCCTAGGTCAGCCAGAACAAAATACCCTGGACTAGGTGACTTAAACAGACATTCATTTTCTCACGACCTGCTGGAGGCTAGACGTCTGAGCTCAAGGGATCAGCAGGCTTGATTTTTCAGGCTCTCCCCTGGCTTGTAGACAGCTGTCTTCTCCCTGTGCCTTCACGTCATCTTCTCTCTGCGTGCACTGGGTCTTAATTTCCTTTTCTTATAAGCACACAAGTCATAATGGGTTAGGGGCACCCTAATCTATAACCTCATGATCTCAGTTCAGTTCAGTCACTTAATCCTGTCCGACCCTTTGCGACCCAGTGGACTGCAGCACGCCAGGCCTCCCTGTCCACCACTGACTCCCAGAGTTTGCTCAGACTCGTGTCCATCGAGTCGGTGATGCCACCCAACCATCTCATCCTCTGTCATCCCCTTCTCCTCCCGCCTTCAATCTTTCCCAGCATCAGGGTCTTTTCCAGTGAGTCAGCTCTTCACATCAGGTGGACAAAGTATTAGAGTTTCAGCTTCAACATCAGTCCTTCCAATGAATATTCAGGACTGATTTCCTTTAGGATGGACTGGTTGGATCTCCTTGTAGTCCAAGGGACTCTCTAGAGTCTTCTGCAACACCACAGTTCAAAAGCACCAATTCTTCGGTGCTCAGACTTCTTTATAGTCCAACTCTCACATCCAAACATGAATACTAGCAAAAACATAGCTTTGACTAGACAGACCTTTGTTGACAAAGTAATGTCTCTGCTTTTTAATATGCCATCTAAGTTGGTCATAGCTTTTCTTCCAAGGAACAAGCATCTTTTAATTTCATGGCTGCAGTCACCATCTGCAGTGATTTTGGAGCCCCCCAAAATAAAGTCTTTCATATTTCCATTGTTTCCCCCATCTATTTGCCGTGAAGTGATGGGACTATGACCTCATTTTACCCTAATTATCATTTTAAAAACCCAATCTCGGACTTCCCAAGTCGTCCAGTTGTTAAGAATTTGCCTGACAGTGCAGGGGACATGAGTTCAATCCCTGCTCCAGGAAGATTCCACGTGCCATGGGGTGACTGAGCCCGCGAGCGGCAACTGCTGCATCCCACAAGCCCTGAAACCTGTGCTCCTCAGCAAGAGAAGCCGCCACGACTACAGTAGCCCCTGCTCAACACAACCAGAGAAATCCCACTTGTGCAGCCAAGACCCGGTGCAGTGAAAAGTAAACACATAAACAAAGCCCCAGTCTCAAATGCAGTCATGTTCTGAGGTGCTGAGGTAAAGATTCCAATCTTTGAATTTTGACAGGGCATAAAATTCAGCCCAGGCACTGTCCAATTTTGTGAAATCTTGTGAAGAAACCCAAATTTATGAAACACTGAAAGTAAAACTGTATTAAGGTGATTATTAACTATTAAGGTGATTAAAAATATGAAAAAATGAAGTGAAAGTCACTCAGTTGTGTCTGACTCTTTGTGACCCCATGGACTATACAGTCCATGGAATTCTCCAGGCCAGAATACTGGAGTGGGTAGCCTTTCCCTTCTCCAGGGGATCTTCCCAACCCAGGGATCGAAGCCAGGTCTCCCGCATTGCAGGCAGATTCTTTACCAGCTGAGCCACAAGGGAAGCCCCCAAAATATTAATAAAATGAGGATAATAATAAGTACCTCAAAGTATTCTTATAGGATTAAATAAGGTGGGTTGGGTTGAAGAATCAAATAAATATACCAAAATTCAAATCTACACTAGGGTGATCTGTGGCCATGTAGCATCATTGGTCAAGTCACTTAAACTGATGAGACTTAATAATTCTAATCACAACAGAAGCTCACGTTTATGAAGTTCATAAAAGGAAGGCCTTGTGATAGTCCAAAAAATGGAAGCCGCTAAGCATTAGATTTTTTTAAAACTGGAAATAATCACATTTGTCTTACATGATGGAATTAAATTAGTTTACAGGAAATGCCTAGTCTAGTGCATCGTTCATCAGGATATTCCATAAATTGATAACTATTAAGGTGATTAAAAATATGAATAAAATAAGGATAATAATATGTACCTTGAAGTGTTGTTATGGGATTAAATAAAGTAGAATTTGTAAAGCTTTGAGGACAGTGTCTAGAGTATAGGAAGTGCAGTGTAAGTTTCTGTTAAACAAAAACGTAGTTTATATGCATATGGTACCACTCTAATGGCAGAAAGTGAAGAGGAACTAAACAGCCTCTTGATGAGGGTGAAAGAGGAGAGTTGAAAAATCTGGCTTGAAGCTCAACATTTAAAAATCTAAAATTATAGCATCTGGTCCCATCTCTTTATGGCAAATAGAAGGGGAAAAATTGGAAGCAGTGACAGATTTTATTTTTGGGGCTCCAAAATCCCTACAGCCATGAAATTTAAAAATGTTTGCTCCTTGGAAGGAAAGCTGTGACAAACCTAGACAGTGTATTAAGAAGCAGAGACATCACTTTATTGACAAAGGTTCATGTAATCAAAGCTGTGGTTTTTCCAGTAGTCATGTATGAATATGAGAGTTGGACCATAAAAAAGGCTGAGTGTCAAAAAGTTGGTGCTTTGAATTGTGGTGCTGGAGAAGATTCTTGTGAGCCCCTTGGACAGCAAGGAGATCAAGCCAGTCAATCTTAAAGGAAATCAGTCCTGAACATTCATTGGAAGGACTGAAGCTCTGATACTTTGGCCACCTGATGCACAGTGCTAACTCGTTGGAAAAGTCCCTGATGCTGGGAAAGATTGAAGGCAGGAGGAGAAGGGGGAGGCAGAGGATGAGATCATTAGATAGTATCACTGACCAATGGACATGGGCCTTGGCAACCTCCAGGAGATAGTGAAGGACAGGGGAGCCTGCTGTGCTGCAGTCCACAGGGTTGCAAAGAGTCAGACATGACTTAGCGATTGAACAGCAACAAAAAATTACTATTATTGTCCTAAATATTAATAGCTCTTCCCAAGAAAGCACCAAAGCACCTCAAATCCATCTCAAATCGAGCTGTGAGGGAGCCTGTCATAGGGGACACAGCATAAACTGTTGCAGACTTCTTCAACATCGCTGCTGTAAAATTAAGCTAAAAATAGTGCCCCTGTCAGAATGTCACTTTATGGGTTAATAAAGCTTTCCCAACGACTCAGCCAGTAACGAATCCGCCTACAACGCAAGAGATGCAGGAGACACGGGTTCTGTCACTGGCTTGGGAAGATCCCCTGAAGTAGAAAATGGAAACTCATTCCAGTATTCTTGCCGAAAAATTCCCATGAACAGAGGAGCCTGGTGGGCTACAGTCCAAAGGATTGCAGAGAGTCAGATAGAACTAACCACACACACACACATACACAATGATCTTAAAGCACAGAATATGTGCTCAATAAATTTTAGTTCCCTCGACAGTTAGCAACATTTTCATTCCATAGTCATCCAAGATGAAAATATTTTTGACTTCCTCATTTCTCTTACTAAATGTGTATTAACTTTCATATTTTCTGGATTCTTGATGCTCTGGCATCGGGGGCCTTGCTGATGGGGATAGACTGATCTACTCATTTCTTAGAGATACCAAATGATTTTCCGTGGAGCATAACTTTCATATGCAAACTAACCAAACCAGAACCCATACTCTGAAACTCTGCCTCTATCTTGCTTTTGTACTCTAGAAGGCAATGTTCTTCTGCCTTTATCATCACAGGGCTAGGTACCCTAGACACCCAGTCAACTAGAGAAAGCCCTGATACACAAGAGTGTGCTGGACTTACTCAAACTAGCCGATCCTAAGCCTACTTACCCTGCCTCTTCTTACGTCTCCCACAGAAGCCACAGTTAAGGCCGTTGCCCATGCCGTCCCCTTGCCCCTTCTGCCTCCTGGCAGACTTGGTGCTTCCCCGCGTGGCTCTGCGGGGTGTCTCCTGCCCCCTCCTCTTGGAAAATGTGAGTAACAAGCTGTCTTTTCAATGGCAGTTGTCTCCTGATCTGTCTGTCTCACAACACCTGCATAATAGTCAAAGTAACATTTTGAAGCAAAATATTCTACCAAGTCCTGGAGGATTTATCTGTAAAATAATTCTAAAACATCAGTCTTCATTTCTATTAGCATGGCCAGTGAGCACATCTCTTGGCCTAGAGTATTGCAATATACTCTTCAAGGGTCTCCCAGATTCCAGATATACCTCTTTCAAAGTTTCAACTTTTCCAACCCATCTTTTATCCCCAAATCAAAACATGATTGAAAGTAAATGAAAATGAAAGTAAAACTATCTCATGCCATGTCAGTAATATTCTGAGGTTGTGTATTGCCTCAAACTTAAGCATTTTGGTATACCCCCAACTACATGTGTGTGCATGCATGCACACACACACACACACACACACACACAGAGTCACCTGTGGTCCTGCTCCACAGCACCAATTATGTTCTATCCTGTGGAAAGGGAACACAAATCTCTGTTGATCAGGGGGTTATCTGTGCCACAACTTTAGTATCCTGTAAAATCCATCTCATGATGATTACAGCAAAGTAACAAGAGAGACAGTGCAACATAGCCCAGCCCAGAGGAGAAAGCCCCTCGTGGTTTGGCAAGTCTAAGTACCAAATTTGATTCCACCCAACAAGTCAAGGTTTCACATGTTGCTGCTGCTAAGTCACTTCAGTCGTGTCCGACTCTGGGCGACCCCACAGACGGCAGCCCACCAGGCTCCCCCATCCCTGGGATTCTCCAGGCAAGAACACTGGAGTGTGTTTCCATTTCCTTCTCCAGCTCATGAAAGTGAAAAGTGAAAGTGAAGTCGCTCAGTCGTGTCCGACTCCTAGCGACCTCATGGACTGCAGCCCACCAGGCTGCTCCGTCCATGGGATTTTCCAGGCAAGAGGACTGGAGTGGGGTGCCATTGCCTTCTCCTTTCACATGTTAACACCCCTCAAATCATAATGTATCTCACAATTCACAATATATTGCAATGATTATTGGCAGAACATTTTTTTTTTCTTTCCTGGTGGCAAATAAGGTAATGGTACATCTAATAATCTTTGATGCTTTATATTCCATAAGGAACAGTTTTTCAGTAAGGAGACAAAAAAGAAAAAACAGCAACACACACAAACACAGGCTCTGTTCAAGTAAATAAAGAAAACAAATGGTTAGACAGAGATTAGAGAGATTCGTTTCTTAAGCACTCCTTAGAGCACGTACTAGACTAATCGGTGTTTTGCATCTGCAAGCAATAGAGCCCTCCGTGGCTGCCACTAACCTCTCTGCCCCACGGTGACTCCCTTGTATCCTTGGACACCCATTACCAGTCCTGTGCCCGTTGGAGTGCCGTGGAGGCATGCTTCTGGGGTCAGTAGGATGGAAAACACTGCTTTTAAGCAGAGGCATGAAGCGTATTTCTCCTGGCGCCCAGCGACCCAGTTCCTGTCTCTAGTGCTGGATCTTCACATTAAGTGCATCTGAATAGTGTATATCTCAGGGCTTTCCTCCCCAACACCCCTCCTATCGGGGGTGAGTGAGTGTGCCTCATGGGGGCTGTCAAGGAAAACAGCCTAAATAGTCCCTTCTCCTCCCCAGCTTGAAATATCCATGGCATTTCCTATGTTATTTTATAAGTTACATTGAATTTCTTATCTCTGTACTGTCTGCCTCTATCAGTAGTTATGTAAACTCCATGAGGGTAGAGGCTTTGTCCAGTGTTCATATATATTCAGTGCATGAGTATATACTCAATGAGTAATTAGTAAATGAATTAAATGAACAGTATATTTGAATTTGTTTTTAATAAGCAGCTGGCGTTTTAGAGAATTTGTCATCTTTCCATACCGAGTAATGGGACTCTCTTACAGTATGTTCAGTGATTATTCCGGGGCTTTAATCTTACTATTCTCATACTTTAAATACTTATTCTTTATACTTTCATTGTTGTTATACTTTTCTACCTCCTGATATTCCCTGATGGTACATGTGCCCCAGTTAAAGCAACACAAAATAATAGAGTCACAGCAAGTGGATTGAAAAAAAAGTCTTTATTGCAGTAAACGCTATGCTATGTGTTGGAGGAAAAAAATCTTTTTCTCTCTTAGTCATGAACCTGAGGCAGAGGCTGGTTGACTATGGCCAAGAGAGTCTTTCATCTTTGTTCTGCCTCTGTACTTGCCCAAATCACTCAGCAAATTTCTGCTTGTCCATTCAGATTCTGGAAAAGTATGGTGTAATATGTAATATAGAAGAGACTATATTTTTAAATATTTAATTATTCTAGTTACCTTCTAGCATCATCACTTCTTAATATGTGACTTACCTTTATTTTATTTATTTATTTATTTTTAGCTGGAGAATGTATTTTTATTCTTGTAGTTTTATACTAGGAAGTCAACATTTAATAATCCATTATTCACAATTGAATTATAAAAATTTTTAATCCTTAAATTGTACATCAATATCCTATGACTCCAAATTTTATCACTCTCCTTCAAGTCTGAAGAAAATGATCATGTAATTTAGTAACTTCTACAGACAGCAAAGTCCCACTGACATAACATTTAATCTGAAGTCCTACACTCAGATGAGAATTAAGAACAGCCAGTATCTAACTGGCCTGAAACCTGACTGTGTTCCTGGCTCAGGATTCCTGTAGTAAATCTGTAGTCCACACTAAGACACAAAAATAAACTAGGGTGTGTACGTCATATAAAAACTTCACAGTAAAATTAACAAAAATGTTAACAAATTTCAACCATATTACAGTTTCCATCCAATTAGCATTCAAAATGCCTGATTAACTGAATTAAATGCAATTTTTTTAAATGTTTGCCCAGCATTTCAAAATGGTTATGGAGTATAACTTTTAAAACGTCAAAGTATGCTGTACATATTGCACTTTTCTGCTAGACTGGGCTAGTATCCTCCATGGCAAGATACCAAAACTACTGAATAAAATACACTTTAAAATCATAGGTAATTGATTCATTTCCCTGAAATCATCATCATCATCACCAAAACCTTCCAGGATTTTGTAAGATTTGATTCCTTAAATACAATTTTAAAGTTTAACTTAAGGAGAAAAAAAAAGACCCCCATATATTTGACTTATTTCCTTTTTTGGTAATTCAGTGACCAAAGAGAATTTTAAACAAATTATGTTTCATGTTTTCTGGCTTAATAAAAAAGCTAAAATTTCTATTATCCAAATTAAGAAAAATTTTACTAATCAGAAGCTATTTTCAAAAGTCTCTGTATGTCTGTCTGTAGGTTCTCTTAGAACCTTTCCAAACTTTCATAAACAATAGATTTTAAACAATTATGTATTAGAATCAAATTAGGTAAAGAAAACCTTTTGCAAAAATAAAATCACTTCCCAATATGCTTGACAGAAACAAGCTATTCATTTTCATGTTCCATTGTGTTCCATTGAAGACATTACTGAAATCTGTCCAATGGTTTATTTCCAACTGGTCCACTATGAAATTCTTCGGAATGTTTTAAGATTGGCTGTAGCTAGAGTTCTGACTTCCATTTGGACCCTGCTCTCCTTCACTGTTTGGAGGAGGTTTTGGTTTCGGCATCTTACTAAGAATAGTTGCCATCTCTTTTCTCTCATCAAAGTTTTTCCACTGCTCATACAGTTTTATTTATTTATTTATTTATTTATTTATTTATTTATTTATTTATTATCACAACCATAGTGTATCTTTTTTATTTTATTTATTTATTTATTTATTTATTTATTTATTATCACAACCATAGTGTATCTTTTTTTTTTTTTTTTTTACATGTATTCCCCATCCCGGTCCCCCCTCCCACCTCCCTCTCCACCCAATCCCTCTGGGTCTTCCCAGTGCACCAGGCCCGAGAACTTGTCTCATGCACCCAACGTGGGCTGGTGAACTGTTTCACCCTAGATAATATACGTGTTTCAATGCTGTTCTCTTGAAACATCCCACCCTCGCCTTCTCCCAGAGTCCACAAGTCTGTTCTATACATAGGAGTCTCTTTTTCTGTTTTGCACATAGGGTTATCGTTACCATCTTTCTAAATTCCATATATATGTGTTAGTATACTGTAATGGTCTTTATCTTTCTGGCTTACTTCGCTCTGTATAATGGGCTCCAGTTTCATCCATCTCATTAGAACTGATTCAAATGAATTCTTTTTAATGGCTGAGTAATATTCCATGGTGTATATGTACCACAGCTTCCTCATCCATCCGTCTGCTGATGGGCATCTAGGTTGCTTCCATGTCCTGGCTATTATAAACAGTGCTGCGATGAACATTGGGGTACACGTGTCTCTTTCAGATCTGGTTTCCTCGGTGTGTATGCCCAGAAGTGGGATTGCTGGGTCATATGGCAGTTCTATTTCCAGCTTTTTAAGAAATCTCCACACTGTTTTCCATAGTGGCTGTACTAATTTGCATTCCCACCAACAGTGTAAGAGGGTTCCCTTTTCTCCACACCCTCTCCAGCATTTATTGCTTGTAGACTTTTGGATAGCAGCCATCCTGACTGCCAATAAGCTCCAGTACAAGACATACCATGCTCATACAGTTTTAAAATAACCCTGATTATTTCCAAAATCTTCTTCATATCCACAGAAAGCTCAGCAAACCACTGTCTGGCATCTTTCTGCTGTACAACACAGGCTACATGCAGGCAAGCTAAAGCTATCATGAAAGGATACAGTAGGCAAAGATCCGTTCTGTAGGTATCATTCACTATCCTCCATGCAAGAGGAAGCAACATGTCTTCTTGGCCCATGTCCTGCACATACTGGAGCAAAGGTCTATAAGGATGATACACTATCAAGCAACAATCCATTAATTCTAAAAGACAGAATTCACATTCTAATACATGGTTCATCTTATAAGGAAATTCCTTTGGAAAGGCATATGAAAATCTAGTTTTCAATACAGAAGTAGCAGCAGCAATCAATCTTGTATTTGAGACTACTCCAAATTCCTCTACTTTGGATGCCAAAAACACAGATGTAGGAGCCATTAATACAGGATCTATACTTTTCAGAGAATACCTTGCATAGAATCTCTTGAAATAGACCGTAGCAGTGGCAATAACTTGTTGTCTTAATTTAAGATGTTCACCTAATGCTTGGATAACATTTGTAAAAAATATCTGTAATTTCCAATACTCTTCTTCTGAGAGAAACTTTAAATCCTTTTGGCGTTCCTTCAACAGATCTTGTTTATCCAAAATCCATTGTAAATAGTGGGAGCTCTGCCAAAAGTTCCCTGCCATGGAACACAGCTTGCCCTGATAAAACAGCACCAGCCGGCTGAACGGCCCGCGGAGCGACCATAGACAAACCCTCCAGGTCACCGCCCTCCTTGATCTGATGGGCTCAGCTCCGCTCCGCGGCGGCGACGGTGAGAGGAAGAAGATAGCACCCTATTCTCCTTGACGCCGGCCGGCAACACTCTGCTGTATATCGTGACTTGCCTTTAATGTCACAGAATCTTAACTATGTAACAGAAATAACACTGTGGAACATAAATAATACTGTGGTCTAACCATTTACATTATTTGAGTGTTAAATGAGATAATATATGTGGATATACTGATAAATATGACAGTTTTACACAAATGTTGACCACTCAGTCATTTACCAAATGCATAGTATGTGCTTAACATCTGCCAGGCACTGCCGTAGTCACTGAAGATACATCAGTGAATGGAGCAGACAGCCCTGCCTGCATGGAGCTCACGTTCTGATGGGGAGAGAGACAAGAACCAGGGTGAATAGGAATGTGGCATTGTATGTTAGAAGATCTATGAGTGGAAAACTGAAAGAGTAAGTGGTGTAATCCAATGAAGAGTTATAAGTGGCGCTGAAGGTGCAAATAGAGCAGTCAGTGTGGGCCTCACTGAGGAAGTGACATTCTGAGCCGATTCCTGAAGGAGCTGCTAGCCATGCAGGAATCTGGGAGAACATTCCAGTTAGAATAGTGGTTCTCAAACAAGCTCGTAGATACAGAGACTAGATTGGTCGTTACAAGAGACTGATGATTGTAAGAAGTGATGGAGGTAAAAAGGTACAAACTTCCAGTTATAAAATAAATAAAGGATGTGATGTACAGCATAATGACTGCAGTTAAAATCACCGTATTGCATTTTTGCAAGTTGCTAACAGAGTGAATCTTTAAAGTCCTCATCATAAGAAAAAAAATTATAACAATGTATGGTTATGAATATTAACTAGACTTATTGTGATGATAATTTCACAATATGTACAAATATTGAATCATTATGTTGTATAGGTGAAAATAGTATAATGTTATATGTCAATTATACCTCATTTAAAAAAAAAAAGAAAAGAATAGTGGCTCTCCGCTGGGGGCAATTTTGCCTCTAGGGGGCACCCGGCAATGTCTGAAGACATTTTTGACTGTCACAACTTGGGAGCAGTGAAAGTTGCTACTGGGGCCCTAAGTAAAGCCAGGGATGCTGCTAAATATCCGGCAATGCACAGGCTCTCAATCTAAAATATCAACAGTGCCAAGGTTAAGAAACCCTGGATTAGAGGGATAAGCTGGTGCAAAGGTCTAGGGACAGGAAATTGCCGGAACCAACATGGAAGATGGTGTTGAAGCACAGGTGACCATCTAGATCACTTAGGGTGTGGGAGGCCGTTGTAGAGACTTGGCATCTGCTTGATACCCACCCCAGGCTTCTCAGACAGGCGTGGTCACTCTCTTAGCACTCCCACGGCAACCAGCTGCCATGCTCAGTAGGGATTAATCATCTGCCTGTCTCACTAGGCTTTCAAGTCCTTGTGGGTAGCAGGCAAATCTGATCCAGCTCTACACACCCTGTGCCTGTGGAGTTCAGTGCGTGTTACTTACATCAGTGATTATGGTAACGACTTTGGGTGATAATAGCAGCTGATTTGACTTATTCGTTCATTTACTTTCGGCTGCACGAGGTCTTCCTTGCTGTGCAGTCTTTCTCTAGTTGTAGCGAGCTGGGGCTACTTTTTGTAGTGGTGCATCAGCTTCTCATTGCAGTGGCTTCTCTTGCTGTAGGGCACAGGTTCTAGGTGAACGGGCTTCAGTAGTTACAACACATAAGTTCAGCAGTTGTGGCATACGGGATTAGTTGTTCTGTAGCATGTGAAATCTTCCCGGACCAGGGATCAAACCTATGTCCCCTGCATTGGCAAGCGAATTCTTATCCACTGTACCATTGAGAATTCCTCTATTGATTTGATTTTTATTCAATGTACAGACTACTAAGATCCATGAAAGGACAGACTGTGTCTGTTACATTCACAGCTTTAACCTCAGTGCCTAATTGGTACCAAGTACATATCAAGTGCTTAATAAACACTGAATGAATAAAAGAATGAGTAGGTTGAATATATATCAAGAGAAGGGCTGAATCTACAACCCTGAATGTAGATTCAGCCCTTCTCTTGATTTTCTGACCAAATTTCTCCTCTTCTTAGCGACTGCTCTTATGAAAGAGGAGGAGAACTGAAAAAAATCTTTTTTTCTAGAAGATAACCTATGACAAAATATTCTGAGTTGGTAACCTGATGCAATCATGCTATATTTGCCGGTCACATTATAATACGTCATTGCAGACAGTACATGCTTGCATAACCCACGGAACATATCTTTGAAAGGAAAAAGGTAAGGACATGAGTTAAATATATATTATTTGCCATCTAGCTGGCTGATTGCACAAGTAGCTCTCTTTTCTCTTATTTCACACACTAGAACAATCCAGAAATCTGGAGATGATCAAGGAAAGGATGAACAAATATGCAACCTGGGTAAATAAATGCACATGGAGCTCTGAAAGTATCCAGTGGGTGTTCTCCTAGCAGTTCAGGATACGATCCAAGCCATACAGAGTAGAAAGGTGGAGCAAGATTCACAGCAACATTCTTAGTGCCCTTGCTTTATCCTTAGCCTTTGAGAGAACCCTATTTATAAGCTATCCCTTCCACTGCAAAAACTATGACACGATACCTAAAACCTTGCCCTCATAGACCCTTGAAGACCCTTGGTCCTTAACTCTTCTCTTCCTTCCAAAACCCAGGCATTGTGTCAGTTACAGACTTTAATATGAGTTGGTAGTGCTTTTCCTGTTTGGCTTGGTGTTGTTGATGGGTATAGGAAAGGGAAAAATATACAGATCCTAAGGAGAAGAGCATGGGACAATAAGGCCTCTGTGGATTTACCACCAAGTAGGAAGTAGGAGGGGGAAAAACAAAAACAAAAAAACCTAAAATAAAAGAAACTCCAAGAACGCTTACATGACTGAGATGAAATTCTTTTCAATGAATTATTTTATATTTTATGCTTATATAAGTATTTGCCTTCCTTCCTACTTTGAGTCAAAATAGGGAAAAACATTTCCAAGTGCCTTGGTCTTAGAAGGCTGAGGCTCCAGGGAACAGGAAGATGCAGAGAGAAAGAGAGAAAATAAAAAGGTTTGATGTGACCTTGTGAAAAGAATTGTGCTTGGGGTGGCTTAAACCATGTTTAGAATACTAAACATAAATATGCTTCTATTTTGACTTTGCCCTTTTGATCCACACCAAAGAAACCACGCCTTTTTCATCTTTGACCCCTCTAGAGCTCAGCAAAAGGAACTGCTCAGAGGAAATACCCATCCAATGTGTCCTGAAAGACTCAACAAAGGAGAAAAAAAAAAATCCCAAAGAATCAACTTGGAATAGTAACTAATGTTCATGGACTCTGCATTTGATTGGGAGCCTTTGCTTCTAATGCTTAATCACCTCTTAGCCGTGTGACATCAACCAAGTCATTCCATTTCGATAAGCCTTAGTTTCTTTTTCTGTAAAATGCATCCTGTAGAGAAAATGAGATAATGTAAGCTAAGACCATGCAAATTTCAGATTTACTATTTTAATGTTAGTACTTGATGACAATTTCTCAGTTTGTGGAAGAGTAGCAGCCAGTGCTCCTTTCTGATCACGTTTTTCTGGGTTAATTTCTTAATGTCCTACGTCTTTGAGCTAGCCTGAGCTTGCAGAGCTTCAGCAGATGCAGCGTGCGTGGCCGGGGAACTCCTGTAACTTTGCATGCTGTTGCTATTCAGTCACTAAGTCACGTCCGGCTCTTTGTGACCCCGTGGACGGCAGCATGCCAGGCTGTTGGGGTTTCATTCCCAAAATATGTTTCCTCCACTGAAAGAGCACATGTCACCTTCACCAGGGCTACTGGACCTGAGTGTGACAAGGAGGTTCTGACTTACTGTGTTTGGGGGAGAAAAATCTTCTTTTCCAAGGCTTCCAACTCAGCTCAGAGTGGATGCTGGCAGAAAGCTGAAGGCAGCGTACCCCACCACCTCTTCATGGCCATGAACTGCTTCGCAAGCTTAAAAGGAAACTCCGTTAACCCCTTCCCTGGTGTAACACTCTGCATAATTAAGGCGATGGGAAAATATTCCTAAACCAGGGGACTGTGCGAACAGGTGAGGTGTGGCAGGGTCTTGGCCACAGCTCCTTTTGATAGCAGCCCCTCCACGATGGGGACAGTGACTTGGTGACCCTTCGCCACACTTTCTTACTACCTTAAATAGTTGTGTTCTCCCTCTGTGTTTTGCTTCTGTAGCTACGTGGCCAGGCCAGGTCACCCCAGCCTGTCCAGCGAGGCGGGAGAAGCTCGCTCTCTGCCCTGTCCAGCGAGGCGGGAGAAGCTCACTCTCTGCCCTGTCCAGCGAGGCGGGAGAAGCTCGCTCTCTGCCCTGTCCAGTGAGGCGGGAGAAGCTCGCTCTCTGCCCTGCTGCGAAAGCCTGACGCCCTGTCCTGGCCTTGTACCACCCTGGGCAAGAGAGGTCCTAAGCACCATCTCCCGGGGGTCTGCCCCACAGCTAAGTCAGCAGGGTAACCCAACAGAGTAATTGCTCTTCCTTTCACATGCAGAAATGTTATTTAAATATTGGATTTTCTTTCACAGATACTGATTATTTCCAATTCTTAAATAAAACTGTACTTGATTTAACTGAGAAAAAAAAAAGTGAATTTCCACATGGTTCTCTGTTCCCTTCTAGAGTTTTCTCTATTCCCAACCCCATACACTCATGCATAGCCATTAAAGTGACCTCATTTTCCTCTGATTTTCTTTTTTAGAAATATTATTCTGGCCCTCATGCATACTTACTTGTTTTGAAAGATATTTTATCATAGCTCATAACTTCTTAAAGCCAGAAACCCTCCAGAACAAGAACCTTACTTTGCGCGTGTATGTATTCTACCGAGAACTTTT